TTTTTTTTCGAGTTTTGATTCGGTTTTTTCGGTTATTCAATTAGAAGAAAGAAAAAACAACAGAGAAAAATGATTATTCAATTGGCATCCATATGTTTCAATTTTTTGTTTGGTTTTTCTGGCATTCGATATGGGTCTGTTTGTTTGTTTGGTTTATCTGCGGATGTATGGCCCGCATTTTATCCAAATGTTGTTTTTGTGTGTTTTCAAATGAAAATATCGAGAAACGAAACAAATTTTGATGCTAACCAATTTTGACAACCCCAAAAACAAACAAACTGCTTTTGGTTGTCTGTTTTTTGCAAATATTAATGCTGTCAGAATACGTTACAAATTTCGATTTGTAACGTTTTTTTTTTTGGTAATAAATAAAAATTATATTAATATACCCTTATGTTTTTTTTTTGTAACTAACTTAACTAACTTAACTTAACTTAACCTAAACTAAATGAAAATAACTATCTATCTATCTATATTCATTTGGCTAAAGAAGTAGAAGAAGTAAAAGCAGAAGAAGAAAATAAATAACATAAGATTTACAAATCAGCATTATTATTATTTTGTAATGAATGTTGTGTACTTATAATAAGGAAAATATTAATACTGACACTTGGATTCTTTCATTTTTCGTTTCGTTTCTTTTTGTTATCTATTCCTATTATTCATTCTCATATTTCTTCTTCTTCTTCGAGGACTTTTGATGTCTAGAGATGGTCTTTCTCCTTTCTTTCATTTTTTGACCAGAAAAGAATCCTGATAAAGTGTTTCAGTGATAGTTGGGCCAAAGAATTATGAAAAAAAAGGCATCAAGACAATTATGACAGCTAAGCCTTATTTGATCTCTAAGTATGTGTGTTTGTGTTTGAGTGTCTGAAATTATCTATATTCAAAAACGAATGGCATTTGTTCACTTTGATTTGGGTTTTATCTTTTTCTGTTTTGTTTTGAACTTGACGATTGCTTTTGCTGTTTTTGTTATTTTTGGTTGTTACACATCGACTATTCAACTTGCAAAGATAAATAAAGTTTTTTGTTTGTTTGTAAAAATTTATTATCAGTTTTTTAAAAGTTTAATTAAAATTTTCAATTTACCTTACAGTAATAAAACGCCAAACAGCTAATAATACTGTTAACCAAATCGAAATAGTATGAAATAAAACAGTATTATGTGCATGAAATAATGTAAATACAGCCCAACCATAATTATACATTTGTTCTTCGGGCACTTCAGTACGTATATAATTATGTATTACATATGGAAGAAATGATGCTATAACCAATAGATCGGATACAGCCATACCGGTTAATATTGTATTGGTTGGTGATTCCATATTTTTTCTAATTTAAAACATCAAACAAATGAAAAGCGATTGATAATGAAAATTATGAGGTTTTACAAACGAGAAAATGACAAACCTTGTTAATACAATAATATTAAGTACATTAGCAATAATACCGAAAACACAAACAACTAAACTAAGATAACCATGTATATTTCTATATTCATAATTTAAACGATGAAATATTTCACCATAAAATTCATTACGATCATATTGATTATTTAAAACATTATTTAATTCGTTAATCATTGCTGTTGTTGAAATAGTCGCCGCTGTTGTTGATGTTTGATTCGTTGATAATAAATTCAATAAATTATGATGATGATGATTGCCATCATCAATCATTTGATTTGGTTCATTAATTAAACTATTATAAATAGAAGATATGGTCATATTGGTTTTTTGTATTAATCCGATTGTATTTCCATCATCATTATTAAGATTATCCTTGTAATAATCATCTAATCCATCATTATTATTTTCATATAAAAGAAGAATAATCGATGACGACGAAGACGATGTTTCATTCGTCATTTTTGATGATGATGATAATATTTCCAGGAAATTTCTTTGATTGTTGCTTATTGAATGATTTTTTCTTTTGATTTTTTCTGATTTTTTTTTTGATTGATTGATTAATTGAACAAAGGCAATTTGTTACAGATTATTTTCCGGAAATTTTCTTTTACATTCATTGATTCATAGTGGATTTTCTGTTTCCTTTTTTGTTAATTGTCGATGTTGTTCTTGGTGGTGGTGTTTTTCCCGAAAATTTTTGTTTCCCAACGCTAAAATGAATAAAAAGAGAAAACAGAGAAAAGGAAAGAATTAAACTTATTCCAGGAAACAAAAGAATTCTATTAATATTGTTCGAGTGCAATTGAATTGAATGTCAATTGGGTTTTTTCCCCAAATGATATCGAAATCAAATGGGAAAATCGTCTTGTTTGTGAATTGGCAGTGAGAAAAAAGAAAATCTAGACAACAAGAAAAACAACGAAGAAGAAGAAGAAATTCTCTTATCAATGACAGGGCCAAGAAAGAAACAAAAACAAAACAAACTTGAATTTATCAGCGGAAAAAGATTCTTGACTCGAATTGGAATCGAAGATTTTTTTGTTTTGTTATTTCAAACAACAACAACCTTCGTATAGAAATAGGGGAGAAAGAGAGAAGAAAAATGATGATGCACACAGTGTTAACTTATTATCGATTAAAATGAATGAAAAAGGAATTTTCTTTTGCTTGCGAATCCATTTTTCTTCGCACCCCTTCCAAAAAACAGAAAAACTTAACACAAAATTCCTAAAGTAATTTATAATTTTCTTTTGTACGTTTAAAAAAAATTGTTACAATTACAATAATTTCCGACCAAAAAAAAAAAAAAAAAATCCGAAAATCTTTTTATTGAATAAAATTTTTGTTCATTTTTTTTTTTTTTNCCCTTTCCAAAAAGAAAAACTTAACACAAAATTCCTAAAGTAATTTATAATTTTCTTTTGTTTCGTGTTTAAAAATTTTTACAATTACAAAAATTTCCGACCAAAAAAAAAAAAAATCCGTAAATCATTTTACTGAATGAAATTCTTGATCATATTATTATTATTATCAAGTGAAAAACAAAAAGAAAAGAATATTCTTTTGTTTTTTTTCTGTCGAAAGAAGAAAAGGTTATAGAGATTTTTCAAAAGAAAAATCCAATAAATTCTTGTAATATCCGTTTGTAATAATTTTTTTTACAATAAAAAATTCTTTTTATCAAATACAAATGTCATCATCATCTGAGATTAGTAGATTATTAGATCCAAGATCAACATCTATATTATAGATTCTATAAGATTATTTATTTGTTATTTGTTGTTTTTGTCATTAATAATGATAATGGACAACTTCTAATATTAAACTTTTCATCTGTTTTCAATTGAAAAAAAAATAATTTATAGATTTTTTTTTCTTCGGGAAAATTGATTTCAAATAAATTTTGTTATATTCTCTCTCTCTCTCTCTCTCTCTCCCTCTGTGTTTGTTTTATCGACTGTGTATTGAGATAATTGAAAATCTATATTGATGAAAATCCACAAACAAAAACCAAACGGGATAAAAAGAAAAGTTGAATAAAACAATTTGAAAAAAATAGGAGAAGAAATTTGATTCGATTAGATTTTCGGGTAAATCATTTCTCTTCCCAATGAATTGGCTGCCGCAAATTTTCATTTTCATCAGTGTTTTTCTTTTTTCTTTTTCTTTTCTTCCATAACCGAATTGTTATTCTGGTTTGAAGATAATAATAATAATAACGATGGGAAAAATAAATAATAATCCTATGATGGATGGATAAATGAAATTGGAATGCATGAATGAATCCGGATCTGGTTGAATGATAAAAACTTTTTTGTTCTTTCTATATTTTCTGTTGTTTGGTTTTGGTTAAGCTAACCAATCAACCAATCTGTCAATTCTGGTCAATGATTTTTTTCTGGTTAGTGTTTTTTTTCGATGAAGCGGAAAGTGAGAGAAAAAATGAAGGAAAATCAAATTTATGGTGAAAATACATAAAGGAAAATATCCCGAAGGAAAATGAAATGATTCTGATGATTCCCAATTCAATATTGTGAAATTATATTCTGCTGATTTTTTTTTTAATTGAAAAAAATGACATTGAAATTTTTTCGTTGCAAATTCTCTCTCTCTCTTCACCACACAAACGAGATATTAACTCGGTTTTCAACACGGGAGAAATGAAATGAAAAGATTCACAGCTTTTGCATTTCTATTTTTAGGACAAAAATATATATTCTTTGCATATCAAAGAATCCCTAATTTGTCGAAGAAAAGAAAAAAATTTATTATCGAGTTTTCCTAAAGTTGTTGAATCAGTTGAATACATTGAAAAATTAGGGATTTTTTTTTGTTGAATCATATTGATGACAATGAGAATTAATCAAGAAAAAAAAACTACAGTAAAAAAAATCATTACAAACGACGTCAACAAGTCAAGTTTTTTTTTATATAGGGCTATAAAGTAAACATTTCGTTTTTACAGAGGAGATACCGAACAGACAGTAGAAAGTTTACGAGAAAAAATCCTGATTTTCTTACATTTTCGATTGCATATGTTACAAATGAAAATAAAGAAAAACATTTCGGCTGATGCTAAATGATTGGCGATAATCATAATGATTTGCCATCAATGTTGATATAGGTTTTTTTTTGGTTAAAAATCCATTACATCGATCATGATCATCGTTTTTTTTCAGCAGCAGTAGACATTTACAATCAACTAACTAACTAACTAACTAGCTAACTAGCTGACAAGAAAAAGAGAGAAAATCCAAATAGCTTTTTATATTTATTATAATCAAAAAAACTGTATTAACGACTATATACACACTGTAGACACATAACTTATATAATAAGCTAATAAGCTAATATTTAGAGACAATCATCATTACCAGGCATCGACAAACAGAAACAATTTTAGTAACAATTCTGGCAATATGACTTTAATTTTTTCTTTTTTTTGATTGTAAATAAAACAGCAGACAAGCAGCGGCAAGAATTTTTTCTTTTCTTTTCTTTGAAATTACAATTGACAACTTGACTTTCAAAAAACTGGATTCATTTTTATTAGAAACACATAAAATACTATTGATGCCAGCAACGCAAAAAAAAACGTATGTTAAAAATTATCATTATTTGTTAACTAAAAGAGGGGGTAAAAAATATAATAATGATGATGATAATAATAATCATTATGTTGTTGTTGTTTGTTTGTTTGTAAAATTGTTATTATTATAATTATTATTAGAATTATAACAGATAATTTAACTTGATAATTGGATCAATCGAATAATGTTATTATTAGTTTTCTGCTTTTTTTCTTTTGTTTTCTGCTTTTTTTCTGCTTTTATTTTTGATCTTCAAAGCGAGAACAAGACATACGAAGCCGAACAACAAAAGCAGAAAAAAAGAACAACAGAAAACAGGAGAGAAAACATCCTAAATAGAAATGATATCGAATCATTTTTTTCTTCAAAGAAAATTGAGATGTTCCAAAAACGCTAAATTAATATTTTAAATTGGTTGTTTT